ATATTGAAAGACTGATTGCGCAGTGCCTCCACTTGCTGTTCATAGCTGTTGTTGTAAATAAGTTTTATATAAACCTACAATATATTATTATGTTTAAAATCGAAACCTACGCCTTCTTCTGCTTGAGCACACGCATTGCCCGCTGCTTTACAGAGTTTTTAGCTGGACCTTCTCGCATCTTCGACATCTGCTCGCGATATTTGCGTAGTTCATTGTCCAGCTTTGTAATCTTTTCCTCTATATTATTTGCGCGAGCATCAACCTGTATTTTTATTTGTTAGAACATAACAATACCATTTGTTTGTGTTATCTTTCGTGCACTTACCCCCGTGATGCAGTCGTTCAGATTCGGTGCTGGCTCCTTGGGTTTGCCTTTGCCAAATAATCGATTCATTGTGGCTTCTGTTTTTTAACTTTTATCAACTGATCCCAAATTTTACTAGCTATATTTTTTAATAATTACGGAATTGTTTTCAATTAAAATTGCGTTTTTCTGCTACAAATTTGCCAGCTGATGACTAATCTTTTTGCAATGACAGTTCGAAATACAGTGGCTTTAAAAGTTTTGTTGTTTACAAATAAATTTGAAGCTGCCAGTTCGGCGACTTTTTTATAAAAATTAAGAATTACTTTTTATATTATTTACTTTAAATTAATACAGTTGCAATTATGCAAGTTTTTTTTTGGGAAATTTTCAAAGTACATATATCGTTCTACAAATTTAATTTAAAAAACATTAAGCTCATATAGGCTGCTGTGTGCCATTTTTATGCCAACGCTGGCAATGTGGCAGGATTTCCGGCATAACTGACGTTTCTAAACAACTACAACTCATTTTCCGGCGGTAAAATTACAATTACGGCATAAAAATGTATTTCCTGCGAAATTTTGTTAGATATCCTTTTTTGTTGTGAGTTTTTGGAATCTATGTGATCTATGAATGGTAAAAAGCGTTTAAGGAATAAAAGTGTGTGTATTGGAATAAATGTCTGCAAATACGCAAAAGAGGAGTTTCGGATTCTCCAGAATTCTTTAGTAAAGATTTGTACATACATATGTACATAAATGCGTAGATATGTGCGATACCATGCTGCAGGTATGTATGTTTGGTTGTTTGTAGATTTGTATAATAATGATATGTATATGTATTTACATACATACATACATACGTTTATATGTATTTATGTATGTTTAAAAAAATAACATTTTTGAAATTCCAAAGTGTTGCGTTCTCACTGACTGGCGGACAGCTTGAACGTGATGGGAATGCTTGCCGAGCACTTACATACATACATACATGCATACATATGTATACATATATACATTCAGACGCACATTTTGGGCGACTATCGTAGCTCTTGCGTTGATCTGCTCCATTGTGTATAATTGCCGGCGTATGGTGATCTGCTGGAGGGGCAAATAGAAAAATATGAAATAGCAAAGTATCAAAGTGATACAATCTGCGTAACTAAGATGATACAGAACTAAAGATATTTCCATATGTGATAAGGATTCTAATATTCGGTGCTTTAGATTTCTCAGGTCAAATATATATACAGGAATTTGAAACGAATATCTAGCTTCCAAATAACTAACCAAAAGTAGTCCAACTTAAATTAATAATTGAGTTCAAGTATACAAAACAAAAAATATATGAATTATCTATTAATGTTAATGTACATACATACATATTGTCACCTGAAATGCAAAAAGACGTAACAAACATCATCGTTGAAATGCAAAAAGTTATAACTAATAAAAAATTCAAAATTCACTTTTTTCTTTTTTTTTATACCCGAGCGCACTTGTGCACAAGGGTATTATAACTGATTTCTCTTTTCATTCTGATCATTTATGTATACATTTGTCTATATCTATCTCGATTCGTTTTGCCTGTTACAAACAACCGTTATGTGAACAAAGTTATATTACATTTACATTGGACCCAAATGCGTCATTTGAAATCAGTCATTCAAAGGTGTTTACACTGCTTGATCCGCATTTGCTTTGACTTCTCATCAAATGAAAAGGGAAGACAAAAACAAAATGTATGTAAACAAACACTACATTTATTATATTGTTAACGCTTTTTGGACACAAAAAGGCAATTATTCTTTGATTAAACTAAAAATATGTAAAGCTCTTGTATAAATTAACAATTTTTACACACAAATTTCAATGATTTATTTATTTCGTTGTGTTTGTTTTGTGTTTGAAAAATTCCAAATGTCAAAGACAAACCAAAGCTTTTGTGGAACTTTTGTTTCTGAGTGCGTTCAATAAAATAGTACGGCAATTGGAACGCATTTGTTTCGTGATTTTGTGTAAATGCGTCGAAATGCGTCATTCTGGAAATGTGAATTTGTATGGAGAAATGCGTGATTTGGCCTCGCATTTGAGGTTTCTCGCCCAAATGACGCATTTGGGCTCAATGTAAATGTAATA